AAAAAGGAAAAGGAGCTGGCTTAAAGCAGATCGCAAAACAGCAGAGAAAACACAAAATTTCAAGGAATCCCAGGCACGACAAGCGGTCGACTTATCTAGGTAAAGAACAGAGAACACCAAAAAAATTTCCTCTATACGGCCCCACCCAATTCTGGCCTAGCAGAGGTATAAAGCGCGACCAAAACAGGGAAATTCAAGAACCAAAAAATTTTCACAAGGCCAATTACATGCACCCCGTCGCGCTGAGGGATCCCGTGCGGCTGTCCTAGTAAGAGCATGTCTTCCCGATGGGGCGAATTTTTCGGAATACGCCTCCCCCTCCCTTGAAAGTTCCTCCTCTGGTATGAGCCCCCCTCCCCTTCCCGATCCAACATCCTACCCATCCTATCTTACTATCTTTCTGGATTTCCCAAGTTTCTTCCACTTTTTTTCCAGCTTTTCGGCAAAAAAAAATTCATTTTGTCCACCAAAAATGCCGTCGAGCAGGGTGAGGGGAGTGGAGGAGGTGGGAGAGGGGGGGGGGGGTGACATAGCACACTCGAAACAGGGAAAAAAGTCGAGAAAAGTCAACAACTGAGAACATTCTTCACAAAGGCAAATATGGCCCCCCTCCTCCTCTAGTGATTAGATACCCCTTACCTCCGGCGATAAAATACGAGCCCTACCTCCAGCGATTGAATAGACCCCCTCGCCAAGGATCCCCAAGGCAGTAAAGAACCCGTTCGGACTGAAGCTTTCTGAGCTCATCATCAAAGGCGAAAAAGTACGCTCAGGAGTGGCAGGGGGGTTCATATGATACAATGAATGCGGCGAATATCACTTAAAAAACGTTAAATGATTGGCTTCAACAAGCCTTTCATATCTACGTCTGTGTAGATCACTATCGCAAACTGCTCCAGAATTCAATAAAATGAACTTCTACAACAACTATAAGTACTGGAGTAATTGGTTTTATGAGGCTTCGATAGCTTTCCGAGAGAGAGAGTGTGTATGTGAGAGAGCTGCACAGAGTTCTGATTAGAAAGCAACGGAAGTGACGCATGTATTTCAGTGCACGAGAGGTTGCAGCTAGATAAAACACACAATAACAAGGCTCTTTTATCGATTTTTCCCGGAACCTTCAACAAAATCGTAGTTTTCCGGAAATCGGAACAGAATCGATGGAGATGGAGCTGTTAGACATTTCCATCTCTGTCAGAATAGAATGGGATTCAACTTACGTAACAGTGAAAATGTCAAAGTGCTCTTTTCGTATCGTGAACAAAAATAAAATTCCTGTTACTGCGAACAACTGAAAAAGTAAGTGATGTAGTAAAGCGACATTCACTCACATGCTATTTATTAAAATAGTTATGAAACCCCATTTACGCATGGATATGACGACTCGGATTATAATGTTTACTACTGCTTACTATTATTTAGAAGGTATCAACAAAGTAGAGGCACTGAAAGCCTAGCACTAACAACTGCTAACTATTACAGTACCGGAAAAAATTGGAAAGAATAAAAAGAAGTCTTTTCTAGTGACTTCAGTGCATTTGTCGTTCTTCAAACCAATAACTGCAAGTGTTGCAAACTGCAGGTGTTTCATGCCGGGGGTACTAAGAGATCCAAATTTTCAGTGCAAACTGGAGAAAATATTGGAGTGGTACGGAGGCTGTTGAGGTCATTTGAAACATTCAGAATTTTTGAATAATCGACGGTAGTCCGCAAAACCAACAGTGCATGAGACCGCCACTACTACCAGAACTGGTAACCGCTGGCTCATCTGCTTCGCAAAAGGAAGAAGACAACCATCGGTCAGGACACCCTCGTATTAGGGAGGACCCCACCCTCCGTCCAGCAGTCCTCCCGAGCACTCGGCTACAGAAAAAGGCGACGGAAGTATGCAACATCAACATCATACTGGAAGCGGCCACCACTGCCACCATAATTGCTCACCACTGGTCCACCTGCTTCGCAAGGAGAGAACAATCTTGGAAGGAAGCGATCGGTCAGGACACCTCCGCAGTGTGAGAGACTCCAAAAATTCTAGAAACCATCAAAGGGGTTAGCGCTTGCAGTCCTGCAATGGGACTAGGGTGTAGCCATCCAATAGCCTCGGTCGCTCTCGACCCTCGTCTCCGAAACAGTGTAGACGCTATGGATCCCTAATACCTTGACAGATGGCACGTAGTATACCCGGATACCCATCTGTCAGTCTTTCTCTGTCCGTCCCCATCAAAAGGGGGATTTCAAAGTTTATTGAAGGCCTGCATAGTGGAGATGAAAGTGAGTGTCTACAATTTCTATTTAATATGACACGTGAATCCCTCTAGGGAAAGTCAAGCCCAAGGAAGCCATGGAGGACATGTCTCCCTGCAAGGACCTGTTCTTTTGCTTCCCGGATGCGAAGGGAATGTTGTAACATGAGCAGGGCACGTCGTACATAGGGGATCTCCTGCAAGGGGGGCGTATTTGGTAGTTGAGGAGGGGGCGGTCGCTTGTTCTTCATGAAAAATGTTTCCGGTTGTTGACCCCCCTGCCTCGACGATAGTTTCTGGAAAACGGGGAAAAGTTGAGAACTTCTTAGAAAATGGTGGGATGTTGGGAGAAATTGGGAGCAGGGTGGGTGGGAAGGGGAGTGGGTGTTGTACTTTGCTCAATTCGTCCCCGGCGGCAGGACGAGCCTTGCCTGACAATGAGCTGAACTCGCAAAGCCACACACTCTTGACCTATTCCAAGTTGTTTTTGGCTATTTTGGACTGAAAAAGTTAGGGTGATTTTTTTAGATCGCTGTTATAGCTTTTATAGACTTGAAAAATTACTTTGCTGCCTTATTTTTGCCCAATAGCTTTTAATGAATACGTTTCGATTTCTTTTCTGGTATGGTGATAAACATAACAACTGTGAACGCTAAACGGCAAGGCATCTACCAGGTAAAGGTACTGAAAGCCAGAAATACCCTATGGTTACCAGTAATAGACAGCTGTGTTGCCATGATGTTTGATAATGTCAATTGATTTAGCAGAGTGTAAGGCATGTCTCGTAAAAACACCAACATTGAAAACAAATTTCGAAAGTAATTACACGATCGACGAATAAATTGTAAAGTTCACGTTTAAAAAGAAGATAAAACAAAAGTACAAGTAATTAAAATGTACGATTTGTACGATGAGATAGGTTGGAGGTAGTTGTATGACGCAATGAGGTCGCAACGCAAGAAACCCCCCTTACGCGATCGGATCGATAGAGACGGGGGGTTGGGCCACCCACGGTACCAACGGAGATGAACTGTGGAACCGTGAGGTAATTCGCTAGGCGCACGCCTGCATTGTTTGACAAGAGACGAAACGAAACGTAGAGGGTGATAGAGGGTGAAAGAGCAACCCCAAACGTACATAGCGCACACATAACCCGTACCCTTGCCCAGGCTATGTTGCCCCTTATGAAAATCGCGCTAAACTTACGGTGGTATATTTAGAAATGTGAACGACCATAGAATTTTGAAGGCTGTCTGACCAATATCGGCAATAGTCAAGGTCAAATCAACCACTAACATCGACGTGCACGTGAATTTACAGCTCGATTCGGTCGTACACCGAAACCATTTACGTTCTGGGCTGAACAATCCTCCAAGGATATTTTGGCGCGCCATATAGTCCCGAAGCAATTGATCGAATGGACCTACTCCATTACTGAGCTCGTTTCCAAGTCCTTGCTGGAAGGCGAGATAGAGCTCCATGTAACCTTATCCCTTATAACCAGTGCACGTCCCGTCGCTGGGAAAATTTTTTGCAAAATTTGACCCCAGCCCCCCTCATGTTACATGCATTCCTACGTCTTCCGAGTTTTCCTTTTTCTTTCATCCGAATTTTTGTTTTCCTGAGTCCAGAAGACCCCTCAAGGAGCGATGGGCAAATACGGCCCTGGGAACCCCCAATGAAGTGAATAGTCCTGTGAAACAGAAAAATTCCACCATCAAAAAAATTTTGAGCCGTGTACGACCCCTCCCCCTCCGCTGGGTACTCACAACGTGTGACGTGCCCTGATTATGACGAATCAATGAGGCAAGTCAACTGGAAACAGCTTGGCAGAATATTCGTTAAAATTTTGACTTTTGAAAAATTGACCTTAAAATATCGAAACACGAGGTTACCTGCCCTGATATTTTCCCTCACGCCCATCATTGCTTCCATAAACTCACAAAAAAAAACAAATGTGAATGTATGAACAGCACGAGGTAAGTAGTAATGATATTTCTTGGTATTTACTAAGTAGAAAGAGAAAATTCATTAGTTGAATTACTATAGCGAAAAGTATTCTGCAATATCGGCGAGTAATTTCAAGTGTGTAGTCGTCGGCAGCCTAAAGCCCCCAACCGGAATCGGGCACATCCATCATGGCGCGGAAAAAAACGGCCGTCCTCATTTCTGTTTCGTAGCTCCAGGAGCCATTCTAATGACACGCGTATGCTAAAGAACATTCTGCAAAATAAAGAATGTTCTGAGTAAGTGCTGAAAGCTAGGTGGTACTGAATAGTTAAACGGTTAATTTATGGGCTTGAAATGCGTCTTTGATCGGGTTCAACATAGCACACAGATGCGGTTATTTAAATATTATCATAAAAGTATCTAAGGTTTTCAACTGAAATGCTTTTTATCCAATCCGAAAAATCCTACCCAAAAAGAAAAAAAAATTGGAAAACTTGTGATCGTGCTAAACATACACGCAGCTAAGACTGCTCCAATGCGAACGCGCCGCGTGCGCGCGCTTCTAAGAGAGATCAAGTTCTATCACTTTAATTGTTCACATGCCTGATTTTTAATGATCACTCAGCTGTGGAGTTTGCTTTTTTTCTAAACAACTCAGTTGGATCTTACGGTTGGTTCACATGCCCATTTTTTGCCATTCATCTATAAGCACGCCACCCGTAAATTATTTATTTGTGTGCACTTTGTGACGTCATGGTTGAAACGAGTGGTTTTTTAAAAGCTCCACTAATTTCTATATTTTTCAGGATGCTAGGCATAGTGGATAGGATTCAATATAAATTCCTCACGAAGAGACGCCTATTCCTCGCAACACTTACAATATTTGCTGTGGGATCTTATTGTCTTTGATCTACCTTCTTTTTTTGATCTCAACAATCAATGTTGTATTGCCTTATGTCCATAGTGAGTTTTTACAGACTATCGGTGTATATTCCCTTGGCGTGGGGATCTGGTTATACCTCGAAAGGACGGATTTTCATGAATTAACGCCATCTTCTTTCTCTGGTTAGTTTTCTTTTCATTGTAATCTATGCAGTTATTCTCAATGTAATTAAAATGTGGTGGGGCGGGGCACGCGGTAAAACCGCTGTGTTCGCTGTCTCAGCTAAGGCTCGGCTTTAGGCCGCGTTCATAATTTGCGATTCGAGCGATTCGGTATCGCGCCTTACCGCCAACTGCTGTGACAGCAGCCAGTTGTTGGACCGCGGCAAAGTTGATATAAGTTTTACACTGGCCCTGGTGAATCTAGCAGACCCAGCGGTTCAATGATTAGCGGTGGAGCGTGGCCGGGCGCATCGCACAAATGAATGGCACGGGTCCCAAAGTATGGACGCAGCCTTAGCAAAGTGCAGACAACCAGAGTCACCCGCTGCTCAGGCTCGCAGAGTGGAAGTAGACGCGACGCCGCACCACCTCCAGCTACGCTGACGCCAAATTAAATGATAAATTATATATTTTTCAATCCGATTCAGTTTGTCATAATACCGGTTGTTTCCAGCCTTTTCAACTGCTGGTCTATGTTGCTCCACAGGTGTTGCGGTTTGGATTATCTGCACCGTGGGATTCATCAGTGCTACGGCCTATAATCGTCGCCTTCTGTATACGGTATCTAATTTTGGCGGACTCTTTCTACGGCACTACTCCAGTAAGCTGGGACATTTTTGTGTAAAACACCCGAGGCGTCTAAAACCATGCCAAACTTTTCTTATATTACAGGTTTAAGACAACTAATCTATCGACCTGTTTTGACTGGGATGTTTCGCAAAATGCAAAAACTTCTTACAAAGGAGAGGACTCACGGGTATGGAGCCTTATTTCCCAGTCGTGCCATCGGAGTACGAGTTGACTCGGGACGCGCAACGCCGCTGCCATATTAAGGGGGTTGGGTCCTAGTGCGAATTCTGAGCGCGTCATCCCGCTTCCAACTTATTTCGCCGCGATTGAGAGGGGAAGCTCCATACCCATTGGGCCACTCCCCGGAGCTCCCCTGCCTAAGTTTGGCCGAAAATTCTCATCCAGCGGCTTTCAATGGTTTCTTGTCAGCTCCAGGCTTTGCACGACATAAAACATCTCGAAAGAATAGCTTGGAAAGAGAGATCACGACATTTCGCAGTGTTGAAGCACCTTTTGTGCAGAATTGAGATTATCGTAACCGCACGAACTTTTGCACAGAAATACCCCGTTTACCAAGAGTAGCGCCATTTCTGATTTTATTCAGTGAAAGTCTTGAAGAAAAAGTTTCCTTTCAGTTCATTGGTTTCGTCATTTTGCTCGCATTCATCCAAACGATAACGGGTATCCTAGGATTCGCCTACAAAGTGGGTTCTTTTAAAACTGTAGCATAAAACATAATAATTCAAATTGTTAAGGATGCTACACGTGAACACGTACGTACGGATTTACTTCACAACATCAATCGTCAGACTTTAATGACTGGCAACGGTCGTTTTTTTAACTTGACATTAAACCTGGGATCGACTTCAGAAATCGGTAAGTGCAGTATTCCTACGGTTGTTCCTTTCTCTTTTGTTTCTGACGTATTTCTCCCCTGTTTTGATGGCAAACCCCCTTTTATGAGGAGTAGCCAACTATATTTCGCGGCGATTTACTTTTTTTTGGCGTTACATTTTTCATTCAAGGTAAATGCTAGGGATACACGTTGATCACTTTGGATTACTGCCCGCTGGTTTGATTCATATAGAACTAGAGATTACTTGCAGGCACATGCAATGGTTTGGTCGACTCTATCCCCCCCCTTTTGCGAGTCTGGTACGCACCCCCTCTACCCCCAGTCTCTGTCCTTCCTCATCGATCGAGCCGTCGAGCGGGGGGGGGGGGGGATAGCACTGTGAAACAGGCAAAATTCGCATTGACAGTACGACCCCCTCCCCTACAACTAACAATCAGATTTTCCATTAACTTCCGCTTTTTTCCGAACTTCCCTACTTTACCAAAAAATGTTTGCTGTCGAGCGGGGGGGGGGCATAATAGGCATATAGTACGTGGAATAGGAAAACACCAAAAGTCAACCGCCACCCCACACGCCAAGCGTAAATACGATCCTCTCCCCCCATCCCTACCCTTCACAACGTCATGAAGCGAGAACAAACTGTGTAAAATAAATTTTCTCAGCCAAATACAACCCCCCTCCTGGCGACAAAATGCAACCCCGTGGGGATTCCCCATAACGATCGTGCCGCTGTGTTACTTGCTTCCCGTTTATTTTTCTGTTTTTCAGTCAGTGCAGATTGGAGAAACATATGCTTAGTTTTTTCTAGCCGTTCTAACTGTGCAGCTCGCCGAAACTGCGTGTAGTGGCAAAAGTCACGCATACCACTCGCACAGTATGGGGTGGATTCTCTGATGAATTCCCGCTCAGGCCAATGAACCTATCTACCGTCCGTAGACAGTAACTTGCTACCAGATTTGTCTGCGAGGATAAGATTATCAACTGTACATCGGCAAGGCTTTATATTGGCTTCATCGCATTTCATTAAGCCACTATGGTACTGAATGAAAGTAGAATACACGCCGATCTCGAAAGAGGACGACCTAACGCCGAAGATGCAATTCTTTCATTACTGCGAGGGAAAAGAACCAATAAAGTAACGAAGTCAGTAAATATACGAAGAAAGCTACACGTTTACTTCCTGTATTGCCGTTCATTACTGCTTTACCTCCTTTTGCGGCAGACGAAGTATCTTGCGATTTGCTGGTTAGGGATGCATTTTGTTTGCACTAATTTATCCCTTTAGAGCCAGAAACTTTCCAAAAAATAGTCCAGTTTCTGACGACTTTTTTCTTGCGTTGACAGAAGTTGCTAAAAATTTGTATCCCCTGGGTAGTTGGGTTCTCTGAACGCATGAATATCACATCGCTCCGTCGACGAAACCTCTGGCGGCCCGCGCCACAGGCGCCGGCGCCAAGAATACCCAAATCAACCAAATTTCGCCTGAAACTTGTCAAAATGAGGTAGTGCTGACCCTCTAAATCATGAATATCACATTCCGCTGCGAACCAATAACCTATTTCCTGGGGTCCGCCGCTCCAGGGCGCTGGGTCACAAATACCTCAAGCCACCGCGCCTGTGTGCGCGGGCGCGCAGGAAGTTTTCGGGCTGAGCGAGTGTGCCTATTCGCATCCGTGAAGAACTCTGCGCCAGTCGAACAAACTCGCCGAGCCGCTCTTGATTGAAAATTGTAAACTGTGTAATATCTTACAAAATCAGTAAGAGTTCTCTCTTTTAGGCATGGTCTCACAGAAGTCTACAGTTGCTCACGAGGTAGCCTGCGCAAGATTCGTTAGGTAGCATTTCATGGCTCTACAGGGGTGTGTAGTTCTCCACATCCAGGGGAGCTAGCAAACTGCCTCCTGCCCAGGCCGATTTTTGCGCCGTTTTGACCTACGAACGTTGTTAGAGACAATCGAGATTTCAGCCAAAGCAGGAGCAAGTCATTTACGGATTGAGACCGGACCAGCCAATTTGGTGTGGCATTTTTGATTAATCTTCTCGTTGGCATACTGTTTTAATAACGAAAATAGTGTGCTGAATTTAGCGACTCCGCAGTTTCTTGACAGGTAGGATTGACTGAGTAATGCGGTTGGCAGATATTGTATCCCTTTTACAGCTCGAAAATCAGCTGAAAATCAACCGCGCTGCCACTTTATGCTGAGAACCTCTTTTGCGATAGGGTCGTGCTATCATGGCCCTTTGCAGAGAGATAGGCAGCACAATCGTAACGTGTAGCTCCACCGCGCTCCCACGGGCGCGGCGTTTTCTTACTTTGCACATCCTGTCGATTGGATTCCATTGCATTCCATGTAGACTACGACATTGTAGGCATTGATAGCTACTTTTGGTAATACGTTTTTGTTTCCCCATGTGCCACCTAGAAACATCGCCATTTGCGGGAGCGGGATCGACGCGACGCCCACGAAGCGAATTACGATTGTCTTGTCACATATTCATACATGCACATAGTGTGCTCCGAACCTGTGGAAGTTTTTCTTTTGTAGGCGACCTTTGAATGGTTGGGTGTTTAACTTTTAGTCATAACGTAATTCAGCAGCTCAAACCTCTAATTTTGTAATTTGATAACGTCGCAATGAGTAGTGACGCCGTCAAGAAGGGGCGGGATAAGCCCGCTTCCAACTGCCATGCTCTACCAATGGTGATCGGTTAGTGATCGATTTAGGAAGAAACACTAGTGGTGGAAACGCTGCGGTTGGGCTCGTTCCCATACCTCTTGAAACCGCCCCGATGGCATTTATTCTGTGCAAGCTGTTTTGATAGCGAAAACTCTGTCGGTTTTGAAATGGAATTTTGTATTTGAAAGAATTTTTCAGTTGGAATGCTGTGGAGTGAATAACGAGTCTGACTGGTTCTATACGGATCGATGGCCATCGCATAGGTTCGTTCCGGATAGTTGTTGCGATCCTAAACACTTCTCGGATGTTGACTCGATGAACAATTGTGGAAAAGTGGATAATAGCACGTTTTTGTTCCAACAGGTTGGTTACAGTACCAGTAGCTTTATTTACGTAGAACACTAACGAGTTCTGTCTTGAGGGCTGCTACGAGGTGTTCGCTGATTGGCTTTATCATCATGTAGCTATTATGAATTGGATCTCTTTTGCTTTACTCATTGCTGAAGTAAGTTTTTCTGTCTTCATAACTGTGTTCTTATCCTTGAATTGGTTTTTCAGTTGGTATCACTTGCAGTAGCTATTCCACTGGCGAAGTCTGATTCGTTCAAAATGGGAGCTTCACATACGCGGTTGGTGTGCTTTTGAAAAATTTCTGCAGTTGGCTTTCACCCTTCCGCCTTGGCTGATGGTATCAGGCAAAACGGGTGGTGAGGTGAAGTGTGGGTTACGATCTGCTTAAATTCGATCGTTCAGAGGTAGGCCCCACGCTGTGGTTGT